TTATTTGTTTTGATAGAGTACACGTACTCCAGGAGACAGGCAGAGAAAGAGGGAGAGAGAGAGAATCTCAAGCAGGCTCTGCACTGTTAACACAGAGCCCTGTGAGGGGCTTGATCCTACAAACTGTGAGATTATGACCTGAGCTGAAATCAAGAATCCAAACTCTTAACGGACTGAACCACTCAGGCACCCCTAAATTAGAGCATTTCAAGAGTGTGCATATGAAAAAAAAAGGGTGGAGCGGAGTAGACGTGCGTTCTTTTGGGTCTATCCAGAAATCAAATTTTGTTAGCCACCTTGGACTTTTACTTCTGGTGGAGGTGATTACACCGCTAGTCTACAGGTGGCATGTGACTAATTACGAACAGTCAATAAAAGGCTCATATTTTATAGGTCACCGGTGACTGCTTCAAGGGTGGTCACGTGACCCACCAGAGCCAGTAGCACATCATAAAACATTTGTGAGGACTTATCAGATGCAGTTCTTTTGAGCCACAGACACTTGTAAGGTCCAGGCACTGCAGTCGTTTTGCTGCCTGAATTGCAAAAACCTAGAGGAAGCAGAACTGAAATATGGAGAGAGAACAGAGAGAATAGCAAGATGAGTTTCTATATCAAGTGACACCTAAAGTTACTCTATCCATGGATTTCAGGTGTCTCAGCCAATAGGTTCCTTTTGCTGAGGCCAGTTTGTGTTGGGAGCTCCCTGAAACTAAAAGTCCTACCTTATAAATTAAAAAAAAAAATGACATATAAACTTGGTGTGTCCTTGGTAAAGTGGTGAAAGAAACTTCTTAATTTTATAGGCAACTCTAGTACTGATGCTGAGGAAATTTCAGGGATGTGTCACCTGATGAGTTCAGAAGAAGTCTTTTTTACTGAAGTAAGAACCCAGTGTTTGGGTACTATCCCTTGTGCTGTGACAGTGGTAGGCATTTTATATGCTAAATTGCTCTAAAAAACTACGTTTCCCCCCTCCTGTTTTTCCTTTTCTGAAAAAGAACTGGCATTTCAAGTACTTATTAAGTAATAATTTAAGTTTGCGGATGGACGCGACAGCTGTAATATTGAGAAAACATGGCCAAGTAGGAATGAGGTCAAAAGTTGAAAGCTGTGTCAGGGTAGAGGTGGGAACTTGAGAGACATGAGAGGTTTGGAAAGGTTGCTCTAGACCAGAATTGGAAACAGCAGGGGAAGAAGGAAAGCACTATGGGGCAGGCCTGAGTGTCCAGATAAGGCCTAAAGCATTGGTTCCCCGCACTGGAAAAGATTCCACGGCTTTCCTCAGCCACATGCCACACATGGGCAGCTGACCAGCAGGATTACCCAAGGGTTCAGCCAAGTTGGGCACTGGCTAGCCAAGTGTGGCTAGGGGAAAGAGGCAAGGGTGCTAGAGCAAAGTTGAAGTGGGTGACCAGGGTACACACCCACAAGGGATTACATACTTGGTAGGCAAAACTCAGTATTCTTTTGAGAGCAATTACGCACTTCTCTCCACTTTCCCACTTCTCAGAAGAATTGAACTAAAGATCTTACGACTTCTGAAAAATAACAACTCGTGTGTGTAGACATTGTATAAAGAAGCACAATCCAAAGCCTCACAGCTATTTTAAAACCAAATAACTGAGTCTAATTAGAAACAATTTAGGACTATCTGAAATGTTAGGAATTAGAAACGCATTTGCTTAAAAAATAACTGATGCATAATGTACAGCTGTCTGCAAGGCACTATTTTCAATGTGATGGATCCTGTGCTCATCGCATGGTTCTAAAGAGGAAAAGGATTTAAACCGGGAGTAGAACTTTCTGGAACACTGGTAAGAGGCAAAGTAAGTCCGTGCATTGAGTGGTTGTTCCAAGCTCACTTCTCTTGCAATCCTCAAGTGTTTGTCTCCTGTTAGTCTTACTGGGACTCGTCTTGGCCCAGGTGTTTAGAAAAGGCACACAGGTATACGTAGGTATCGTCAGGTACACACAGGAGGGAACAATGAAGGACAGGTCAAGAAAAGCCTCTGTCTCTCCACGCAGGAGGGCGTCAAGTAGTCAAAGGTTAGAGTGTCAGGGTTGACAGTCCTGAATACTGTCAGGGAAAAGCTAGGTGCTGCCTGACCCCATACTCCTGTGGTCTGAAGGACCCCAGCATTTCTGTCCCTGCCTCTCTCTTCGGCCTGGGATGCTGGAATCCACAGAGCCCATTTCTTTTCCCAGGTGAGGACTCAGGTGAGGTGTCTTCCCAGCTTATTGCCAAGAGCCCTTCCTACCCCACCTTCCTTCTCTCATCCTGCTTTCTCACAAAGTCTCTGAACACCCACCTTGTCTGTACCCCCTTCGCTCTTCTGCAGTTCAGATGCTGTCTACCATCCTATCTCTGAGGTTCAAGTTCCCCTAAAATTACTGAGGAGGACTGGTGGAGACTGACGATTCTTGGTTCTGATTAGGATTTGTCTCCATGGAGGCTGTGGATTCAGACACCAATTGCTGCTCCTTCCCCGCTCACCCCTTCCTGCTGTGGTCGAGCTTTGCTCCCAGCATGCTGTGCAGCTGGCACCCTGCTCTCTGGTTACAGCCCACTCTAGGAACTGAAGCTATCACGGCCTTTAAGTTATCAAGGATGTTGCTTTCTGTAAAGAAGGCTTGATTATTCCTCCAGACCCTATATTTATCTCAAAAAATGTTTTGTTCGCTACATGTTTTCTTCACTACACCCTGTTGTGAATTATTTTTTAAAATGCCAACAGAGTACTGAAAGGCCTACCCTTGTATCTCTTAATACCATGCAGCATTTAGTTTTCTTTTGTATATATAAGAAAGTCAATCCTGTGGATGCTAATGTATGTACAGCAAGTTCCCCAACTGATGTGATGAGGTCGCTTCAGAATTCTGGAGTTTAAGACTGAAAATTCTTAGGGTCCTCTGTACCTTCACCTCTCATAACTTTTCCTAAGCTGAACAGGTTTGAGGTCTTTACAGACCTACCCAAAGAGACATCACAACACAGAAAGGTTAAGATGACCCTCAGTTTAGGTCAGAAACCAGCTGCAGTGTTTGGAATTGTGAATTTGCTTAGATAGATAGATAGATAGATAGATTTATTTGCATTTTAAACAACTTTTATTGAGATATAATTTACATGCCATGAAAACCACCCACTATAAGTATATAATTCAGTTTTGATTTTTTTTAGTATGTAAAAGGTTGTACAATCATGACTATAATTTTAGAATATTTCCATCACCCCAAAAAGAAACTTGGTACCCATTAGCTGTCACTCCCCATCAATGCCCTCTGGCAGCCAGGGACTTTGCTTAGATTTCTAAATCTTAGTGGCTGGCCTAAGTCTCAGCATGACAAAGCACTGGCTTGTACAAATCAGCCAGAAACAACCTTGGAATAATAGCCAAGTCAACTCATTTCATAATGTTATGTGACATTGGAGACACTGGGTAATTTTTTTTGAAAAGAATGTTTAATTTAGGGCAAATGTTTTTAAGAGTTCATTATTTAAGGGGGAGGCTTATTTAGGCACTAGCACGCATATGGTTTTTTTTTCTTTACTCTTAAAATTAGGTCCTTTAAAATTATTTCATCTTTGTGACCACTAAAAAACTATGTTGCAAGCAAGATAAACTGTAATTTATAGACTACTGCAAAAAAAAAAATTTCAGTAATTTTTTTTCATCAAAAGAGAATTCTGAACCTTCATAGTGACATCTAACAAAGATGCTAGGGATGAGTTAGGGAATTTTGCATCAGAGTCCCTCTTTTTGCCTGTAGCACACCCACTTTTTATCTAGCTGATTTATTGTTTACTTATGTACTTTTGAAAGCGAGCGAGCGAGCGAGAGAGAGAGAGATGAGTGGGGAAGGGGCAGAGAGAGAGAGAGGGAGACACAGAATCTGAAGCAGGCTCCAGGCTCTGAGCAGTCAGCACAGAGCCCGATGCGAAGACGGAACTCAACCACGAGATCCTGACCTGAGCCAAAGTCAGATGCATAACTGACTAAGCCACCCAGGTGCCCCTATCAAGCTTATTTTAACATGTGGCACTGAACTGAGCCAAGAGGAAGAAATATTTTACTTCTTTATATTTATATTCCTACATACTAGTAAAAAGTGATAAATTTTTGAAATAATTACTATTAGGAAGAAAGCCATGCTGAATGCAAAAAAACAAAACAAAACAAAAAAAACACAACAAAACAAAACAACAACAAAAAACAACCTGAATCTCATTTCTTATAGTGGATCCAGGGTACCTGTGAACAACCAATCCATGGCAAAACATCTTTGGGATCCATGAAATTCTCTTCAGATGTGAGAGTTTTTACTGAGTATTTATCCTTTCTAGTATGAATATGGTAAATTAAATAACTGTAGAAAAGATGAGCTTTTTTTCCAAAAAAAGCCTAAATATTTGGCTATTTCTCTTATTGATACTTACAATAACATATCAAAAAGGCCTAAAATAACATCTGAAACCTTCTTTCTGTATAAGAATCCCAAGGCAGCCAAATCAAATTGGTTAGGTCTGGAGTCACCAAACCCACCTGAACAAATTGGGGCAGGTGAAAACACAGTATGAGATGGTACCACCAAGTGACCCCGTGTAACGCACAGACTGGTTCGAACAGAGGGTTATTTCTCAGGACCCACAGACATTCCTTCTGGACCTTAGAAGCCCACCCTCCCTCGCTGATCAGCACGTCTCCTGTTGGCCATCACATTTCAGACAGTGCATAGGCTACCCTGACATCCTCTCTGGGCAAGGATAAGCCTGGTCCAATCAAACCTCATGTCTATTCAAGTCATATTCCACAACCAACTTCTGCAAAGTGTAACCCACCCTTTGCCACATATCGAGGGCCACGGATGATTTTCAGTGGCTTAACTCTGTATGCAGGTTAACACTCTGCGCATAGACACAAAAGACTAGCTTAAGTAACAACTCTGAGGGCAAAGAAAATGAACTCTTGTTGAAATCAGGTATAATAAATGCAAACCTGGTGACACCATACCTTTCTTCCACTGAAACTTCTTTCAGCTGCTGGTGAGGTTTGGTTCCTTCCATCTCCCTGATGCTCACAGCATAGATCTTGGTGGTGTAATCAATGGCCTTCTCTCTGGCAACGTCACTGTCATAGCCTCAAACAACGGAAAGAGATGGGCATGGGGTTGGTCGGCAGTGGCACGGGGTTGGGGGGTGGGGTGGGATGTGTGGAAGGGGCAGCTGGCACATGGGGCTCACTCACCTCCGTCCTCTTCAGCATCGGTGTCCGACTCCTCGCTGTCCACCAGCTTGCTCTCCTGGGTCCCCACAAACTCCCTCGTCCAGATCATCAAGGCTGTGTCGGCTCCACCAACTGTGAGCAGCACAGAGTCGTTGTGCAGCCACCTCACATTGGTGACGTGTGCGCTGTGCCCCACATACTTCTTGAACCTTGCATGCTGGCCCTGTAAAGCCCAGGAACTGGTGACTACCCCAACCAGTCTCATGACTCCTGTCTCCAGACTATTTCATCCATATTATTTTCCAGAGCGGCTTCTAGTGGATACCAACTAAGCAGTTCATCCAAGCAGCAATTTTCCTCCTGTTCTTTAGAGGGTAAGCTCCATGAGGGCAGGAACTAGGTCTCTCTCTCTCTCTCTCTCTTTTTTTTTTTTTTTTTTTTTTTTTTTTTTTTTTTTTTTTTTTTATAAAACATTACCTGGCTTATCATGGGTCCTCAGTAGGTGGTTTGTGAGGAAACAAATGAAATGTTAGATTGCAGAACCTATTTCTGGGAACCTAACGAAATAGAAGCAGCTTGATTCTGTTTCTCTCAAATATGAAACGTACATTCTCCATAGGTCTCCTGTGTAAACTCCTGATGGTGAGTCTGGCTGACATTTGACATCACAAGTGTCTTCCCAGTAATCCCCACAGCCCCACAGTTGTACCACAGCCCAGGCTAAGAAAGAAGAGCAAGGGACTTCTTCTAATTCTGGGGCCTCAAGTAAGATTTCAAACAAACACAACAGTTGCTGCCACAGATGTTTGAAACAAATTTGGACACTGGAAACACAAATAATTGGTTTTAAAACAAAGTGAGTTACTTTTCTTTTTAAAAATGTTTTGATGTTTATTTTTGAGAGAGGGAGAAAGAGAGAGAGCAAGCGGATACGCAAGCAAGGGAGAGGCAGAGAGAGAAGGAAGGAGACACAGAATCCAAGCAGGCTCTAGGCTGAGCTGTCAGCACAGAGCCTGATGTGGGGCTTGAACTCACAGACCAAGAGATCATGACCTGAGCTGATGTCAGACGCTTAACTGACTGAGCCATCCAGGTGCCCTAGTAAGCTTCTTTTCAACAAACCAAATAAAAGGTCCGGTTTATTAGTAATTATGGAAAGCTCTTCAGCACTGCACACAGGGCCATACAACATTCATTCCAGGTGGGGAAGGATGAGGTGGAATAGCAGTTGGCTGCTCACACTGTGCAATCCTGACAAGTGGTGGGAAGCCGAAGCTGCCACCAGAAACCAGCTTCCATTTCTGGCTCATGAGCCATAGCCTGGCAAAAACAGCTCCAGCGAGAGCCATTTAAAGAGGGAGTTTTTTTTTTTTCCATCCTCTCAGCGACTCTTGGAGAATACCTTAAGCAATGTGGGTAGCCACATGTTCTTTCTGAGGTTGTGAGAGGGCCATCAGTGTCCCCGCTGAAAACTTGACTCAATAACGGAAGAGACTTCCAGAGGGTTTTGGACTGGCATGCTAGGGAACCCGAAACCAGCACAGATACATGGCAGGAGACAGGTGCAGCAGAGTGCATGGCTTTGAAATTCTCTTACTCAAGATCTCTCTGTATTTAGCAGACATCTACCTGACAGCAAAGTGGAAATGCCCACTCTGTCGCAGAGTAGTGAGTGTAGAAAGGTTAGGGAAGCAAATAGGCAGGCCATATTTTCAGGAAGCCCTCCAGAGCCACTAGTTTGCTAGAAAATAGGCAGAGCAAAATAAGGATTTCCAAGGGAAACCACTATGTGACTATATGAGATCCAGAAGGCATGGAAACAAAGAGGACAGTCATAGTGGCTGCAGCCATGTGTCCTGCTGGTCTTCCAGCTGGAAGCAGGAACCTACCCATTATATCTACTACAAACACAAGCCGGTTTCTTGAGGAGGAAAAAGTTAAAGAGCCTGAAAAATGCCTCTCCATGCCCTGACCTTTTTAAAGCATTACAGGATTTCTAGACAGGGTGGAAGAAGAAATCCAAAAACAAAAGTTCAGAGAAAAATTATCCTAAGTTGATCATAATCAGGTTGTGAAGGAAAAGAAAGGAACAGAGGAGAAAGAGGAAAAAATTCTGAGTCACTGAAGCTATTTAACAAAGCTGGGATTCTTGCAGCAGAGGGGGATTCAAGATTCTCAGAATAGGAACAAGATAACTGCTGGGTAGAACAATAAAGGGAATTTGCAGTTACTAGAAGTTTCTAGGAAACCAGCTGCTCCCCCACGAGGAAGAGGCCAGCAGGGATGTTTGGTGGCTCCCTTAGGACCTGTGGAAGGAGTCTCGTGAAGACGTGACACAGATGGTCAGATGAGCTGTCCTTCTGGGTCATCATGTCAAACCACGCATTTCTGTAACACTCATAGAGATTCACTACCACAACTTTCCTCTTCCACTGAGTCATGAAAGAACAGAGAATGTCTCCACAAGGCTGGGTGTTAACTGCTGTTAGGTGAGAAATTCCTGAGAGTTTGATGGAAACCTATGTATCCTCTCCCACATTCACAACGTTTTACATAGTTTCTCTGTCTGTAACATTTAACAGAGAGAAGGTTCCTCTCTGAAGAACCATTCTCCAGAGTCTTTGACTTTCTGGGGAGGAGACTTGAGAACTTGAGGGTGGGTTTTAGAAATGTTAATGACATGGTGGCATTTTAACCGCTCTGGTATAGTGGAGAGACACAGCTTTGCAAGGGAAGGGAGGCTATGGGAGTAATGGGCCAGGTGTCCAAGGATGGAACTGGGTCTTGTGATACATGATTTAAGGTACTAGAAAAATGGGCAGGCTCTGGGAAGGAGAGTCTGTTTTATGGAGGCTGGCAATAATGTGATTATCAAGGGACTAATGACCTCATTGAGAATATTTTAAACTGAAAAGAACACATTTTTGTCATTGAGAGAATACTGCCTGGAAGAGAGACAGAGTAACTCCTAGCAAAGGAGAACAGGGAAAAGGGTCAAGAAGAAGACATGACATTAGAGTCTAACAAATGCAACCTGAATTTTGGGCAAAGAGATTGCTGTGTGGTGTTGAGATCTCATAAGTATAATTAAGACTTGATGACATAGAACTCAATGTTAGAACACTACAGTGGGATGGTGTCTTAAAGTGGTTAAGTCTGTCCTAACAAAATATCACATTCTGGGAGGCTTAAACAACAGAAACTCGTTTCTCACAGTTCTGGGAAGAGGCTGGAAAGTATAAGACCAATTTGGTTCCTGGTGAGAGCTCTCTTCCTGGCCTCATACCATGCATGAGCACATAGAAAGTGTGCTTATAGCTTTTCCTCAGTGCGCATGGAGACAGAATATGAGCTTTTTGGTGTCTCTGCTTCTTCTTCTTCTTTTTTAAATGTTTATTTAGTTTTGAGAGAAAGAGAGACAGAGTACAAGCGAGGGGGTGGGGGGGGGGTGGGGGGCAGAGAGAGAGAGAGGGAGACACAGAATCTGAAGAGGCTCCAGGCTCTGTCAGCACAGAACCTGATGCAGGGCTTGAACTCACAAACCGTGAGATCATGACCTGAGCCAAAGTCGGATGCTCAACTGACTGAGCCATCCAGGCGCCCCTCTTTGGTGTCTCTTCTTGGAAGGACACTAATTCTATCAGATCAGAGTCCCACCCTGTGACCTCATTTAACTTTAATTATTTCCATAAATGCCCTCTCTACATATACAGTCACATTGGATGATAGGGCTTCGATACATGAATTTTGGTGGGGAAACATTCAGTCTATAACAGACGGTGAGCTCCGTCCAACAGATTCAAAGCATTGGAGGAGGAGGACTACAAAGCTAGAACTATTCATCAGCCTGGGTCCACGTATTTGGGAGCAAAAGTGTGCCAGAAAAATCAGGTTAAGAAGAGGAAGAGAAGTGACACTGTCAAAGTTGTTTACATTGACCAGTGGTTTTCAAATGCTTTTAAATTATGAAACTCTTTCTTGCATCAAATCTTACATAGAACTCAAGAATAATAAGAAACAATCCAACTTATTATAGTGGACAAAGGATTTGTACGAACACTTCACAAATGCCCAGTAAGGAAACAAAGAAGTGCTTAGCGTCATTAGTCATCAGGGAAACATAAATTGCAAACACAGTGAGATCCCTGGGACAGCTAAATTTTGCAAGTATGACAATACTGAATGTTGGCACCTGGAACTCTCTTACATTCATTATGAGAATATAAAATGATACAACCACTTTGGAAAGAGGTCTGGCAGTTTCTTAAAAAGTTAAACATGCATTTTCCCCTATGACCCAGAAATTGCACTCTTATGTATTTACATAAGGAGAAAACATGTCCACAAGATTTGTCCAAAAAATGTTGATAGCAGCTTTCTTACAACGAAACACTGGAAAAGCATATGCCCTTTGACAGCCATGAGGGTACACAAACTCTGTTCTATCCATACAATGGACTTCCGCTCAGCTATAAAAAGGAACAGACTATTAGGAGGAATCTCAGAAACATTATCTGCGTGAAAGAAGCCAGACACAAAACAGTACCTACTTGATCATTTATATGAAGTTCTAGAACAGGTAAAACTTATCTATTGTGGAAAACAATGGAATAGTCTTTTCATGTGAGAATGATGGGGGGTGGGGGGACTGACCCAGAAGTTAGCATGAGGAAAGTTCTTGGGGTGATGATAGTGATCTATATCTTGAATCTGTATCTTGACAGGTGTTTGGATTATGTAGGTGTATGTGTTTGTCAACGTTCATCAAAAGGAACCTTAAAAAAACCTGTGTAATTCAACTATATATGAATTTTACTTAAAAATCACCATAAGCACATTGCGCTAATGGTGCAGAGCCTCCTTAGGATTCTTTCTCCCTCTCTCTCTGCCCCTCCCCTGCTCTCTCTCTCAAAATAAATAAACTTAGGGGCGCCTGGGTGGCGCAGTCGGTTAAGCGTCCGACTTCAGCCAGGTCACGATCTCGCGGTCCGTGAGTTCGAGCCCCGCGTCGGGCTCTGAGCTGTCAGCACAGGGCCTGATGCGGGACTCAAACTTATGAACTGCAACATCAAGACCTGAGTTGAAGTCGGCCACTTAACCAACTGAGCCGCCCAGGTGCCCCTAAAAAACATTTTTTTAAAAATGTTTATTTATTTGAGAGACAGAGACAGAGTGTGAGTGACGGAGGGGCAGGGGGAGGGGGACACTGAGTCCAAAGCAGTCTCCAGGCTCTGAGCTGTCAGTACAGAGCTCGATGTGGGGTTTTAACTGGTCAACTTGAGATCATGACCTGAATCAAAGTTGAACGCTTAACCAACTGAGCCACCCAGGCACCCCTACAATTTACTTTGAATTATGTATAGAATCAGGGCACCTGGGTGGCTCAGTTAAGCTTCCGACTTCAGCTCAGGTCATGATCTCGTGGTTTGTGGGTTCGAGCCCCATATTGGGCTCTGTGCTGACAGCTCAGAGCCTGAAGCCTGCTTCAGATTCTGTGTCTCCCTCTCCTTATGCCCCTCCCCTGCTTGTGGTCTGTCTCCCTTTCTCAAAAATAAATAAACATTAAAAAAAAATTTTAAGTTTGAATATGTATAGAATCTATGAATTCTATATAGAACTCCAGGAGTTCACTGTATCATTTTTTGCCTTATTTGTATGCTTGAAAATTTTCATAACAAAATGTTGGGGAAAAAATCTTATACGGAAACTCAATGTATAAAATATAAAACGCAGAGTGGCTCTGGGGTAGTAGGGGTGGGGTCCCAGAGCCCCTTCAGTTGGCCCCTACTTTGTTTGTTGAGGTTGTCCTTGAGGAGCCTCCTTGGAACTCTGGGAGTTGGAGGAACACAGCTTGAAATTTCTGCTATAGACAGCCTACCTGGGAAGGCTGGGGATGCAGATGATGAATTCCCAGTACCAACAACAAATGTAGCTCAGGAGCACGATGGAGTTGTACCATGGGGATTTTAGCTACTTAAAGATCTGCCACAACCCATCTACTAAAGCCAGGGTATCACTAACTTTTTGACTTGTCCTGTGAGCAATCTCTTTCCAAAAAATGTAAAAGTAGGAAGGAAAAGTGCTACAGAGAACTGAACTGCGACCACACAGGAAGGGGGTGCTGATAAGTGATGGTGAATTGATGGAAAGGACAATGAAGGGAACACTGGATATACTCAGAAGCGTATCTTAGAAAAACTACCAAAATCATACCCTGACAGGATGTTAACAAATGAAGAATTAAAGAGGAAGGCATTTAAGGAAACCAAAGTTGCTGCCGAGGGAACTGGTGTGTTCAACGTCTTCAGCGCACAAATGATGGAGGAGTGGATAACCAAGGATGAACGCAGAAGTCTTGCACAGAAAACTTTAATATAGTTTCAGGAATGCTAATGTCAAAAACTAAGATAACCGTAAAGGAATTCAAAGATACAGGGAGGACTAGAAAAAAAATAGGCAAAAGTTAGAACACATCTTAGATCACATGATTTCATACAAACGGAAAGGAGATTTACTTATCTCCTCTGTAAAGAGAATGCTCTTCAAACCAGAAAGGGCAAAAAAGAACTATGTGCTTGAGTGCAGGTTCTTTTAACATGACCACACAAGTAAAATCAGGAACAGCTGAGGAGTTTAGAAGCCAGGAGAGGTGGCCTCAAACACAAAAAGGTTCCTGTATCCAAAAGGGAAAACAAGCAGACTTTGGCAAATATTGATTCATGAGTTGATGCAATCCCTGGAAAATTCTAGGGTGAATTATTACACAAAAGGTCAATAAGCACTTGGAAAAGGAAGTAATGATCACTAGACAGCAACAAGGGTTCAGTGTGAAATACGTGTCTTTTACCGATTGGTTTATTAAAAGGGGAGATTTGCTTGCTTGCTTTCAGCAAGATATCTGCCAAATCATTAATGATGTGTTATCCGGAGTAGGATAGAAACATGAGCTCCAAGATAGCACAGTCGGGTAAATGTAAATGTCTGATCCTGACTGAAGAACTAGAACTCAATGTGTACATTAATAAACAGAATAACTGAATAGGGCTCCTGACGGTGATGTTTGGCTGTCCTGGTCTTTTTTTATTTCCCGTGATTTAAAACTTACACTTGTGAAATGAGAAGATGACATGATGCTAGAAGGGAAAGTAAACATTTTGAAAAGGTACTTAAAACGTGTTGACAGGTTAGAACAAGGAGTTGAAGTAAGATAAATCTTATTTGGTACAAATATAAAGTTCTGTGCTCAAATTTAGAATATCGATTGTGTAAGGACAAGATGAGGGATAAGCTGAACATTTCTTTGGAATGAAATCTAGGATTCAGTTGCATAGTGTGGCAGCCCAAAGAGTTGGTGCCATTTTAGTTTGATTTAACACAAATACAAAAACAAAACAAGAAGGTAAAATTCCCACTGACCCTGAACTCGTCAGATTACATCTGAGATGGTGAATTCCTTCTCAGAGGAGACAGTTTAGAATGCAATTGATAACATGGAGTGCGCCTAGAGGGAGGGGCAGCAGGAAACCATATCCTGTGGGAAATGGCTGAAGAACTGGACACGTTTAGGCCGGAGAAACTGAGATTTCAGGGAGTCAAGGACTATCTTGCTCCATATGAAGGCTGTTCAGCTGTATATAGAGCTAAACGTTTTAATAACTGAACTATTTAAAAATGAATTGGGCTGCTTTGTGAGGTAGTAAGACCTTCCTCTCTCCAAGGAAGTACCTATTGGAAGGCACTGGCCCAAGATGTTGTAAAGAAATTCTTCCTCTGCAGTTTGTGAGATGTTGGATTTGATGACCAATGAAGGCCTTTCAAGGAGGAATTCTATATCATGAGAATCTGACACCTAGTAGTCAACGGTGTCATAAAGGTTTTTAGATAGCATAAATAACAATGGTGATGTAGATAACATTACTGATTGCTTATATTTAAAAATCCACTTGGAGGGGCACCTTAACTGCCTCAGTAGGTTAAGCTTCTGACTCTTGGTTTCATCTTAGGTCACGATCTCATGGTTCGTGAGTTCGAACCCTGTGTTGGGCTCCATGCTGACAGCGCAGAGCCTGCTTGGGATTCTCTCTTTCTCTCTCTCTCTGCCCTCCCCCACTCACACACTCTCTCAAAATAAATAAACTTAAAAAAAGTCTTTAAAAAATAAAAATAAATATCCATTTAGATACTACGCATAGATTTTAGGTTATTAATGAGACTGAGCAAGTAAATATAATAAACATGCAGTATTACCTTGACAGGATATGAAAAAAGCTTAACAAAACCGAAATCATCTCCAGTGGCTAAGAGGGAACAGTCTTTGGTAAGACTGGCAGCATTTACATCAGTCACATCGCTGTGTGCAGGCCAGATTCCCTCACACGTAGGCCCCAGCACGCAGGTCCACGTGTCCCACTCTATTTTCTCAATCTTAAAAAGAAGGAAAGAAATCAATATATTTTTGCACAACCTAGAGATCTTTTTCTTTATTGTAGTTGACATGCAACGTTACATTAATTTCAGGTGTACGTCATGGTGATTCGACAAGTCTACGTGTTCATTAAGGTACGCTCAACAAAAGTGTAGCTACCACCTGTCACCACGTGACTCTGTTACACTACCAATGACTATATTCCTTATGCCATACTATTTAAAAAAAAATAAACAGCAATAAAAAATGCAGCTGAATAGTTCTTACTGATGACTTTGCCAGCACTAGGCAATTGTGTTGTGATCTGAGGTGCGTAAGTTCTAAGATGCAGTTTTTAAGTGGCATACGGATTATCTAAGTAAACACTACAGTCAGATAACCATTTTTCTATGTATAAAATCATTATTTTGGAATTGTGGAAATCTGACAATAAGAAAGTTTCCTAGGGGGCGCCTGGGTGGCTCAGTCAGTTAAGTATCTGACTCTTGATTTCGTCTCAGATCATGATTGCATGGTTGTGAGATCGAACGCCTTATCATCAGGCTCTGAGTTGACTGTGGAGCCTGTTTAAGATTCTCTCATTCTCTGGCTCTCAAAAAATAAATAGAATAGAATAGAATAGAATAGAATAGAATAGAATAGAATAGAATAGAATAGAATAGAATAGAATAGAATAGAATAGAATATCTAAAAAAAATAGTTTTTTAGTTCTTTAGGTTTTAGCATCATTTAAGCCATAAGCTAGATCAGGGTTTCTCAGTGTCAGCACTATTAATGTTTTAGGACAGTTGATTCTTTGTTGTCAAGGGCTGTCCTGTGCATGGCAGTATTTTAGCAGCATTCCTGTCCTTTACCCACTGGAAGTCAGCAGCCCTCCTCCCCAAGCTGTCCCGAGACATTGGCAAATATCCCTGGGGGAAGGGGCAATATTGCTCCCAAATGAGAACCACTGAGCTGCATTGATCAATGGGGCTGATTATTTAGCAAATTATTTTAAAAAGTCACAAGATGTAACTTTTTTTGAAGGAGTGCTTCTAGAAGGAATGAGTAATAAGATTCTGCAGCTAGCCTAACATCCTGTATGCTAGAGAGAGACTACCTTACAAACTTGAAGAGCTGTTCATATTGCATTACTATGACTATATTCTATTCTTTAAAACTGTTTTCTCTGAGATTCGTGGACAAAAGATTTGAAATTCATATAGGTGAAATCCTGATATAATCTAGGCTTTCCTTTCTAAAATAAACAATAGTAACAACACTGTGTATTAGACTTTCCTGTGGGATTTGATCTGTTAACGCACCTACGCATTACAGAGAAATGGCAAGATAAAGATGCAGTTGGGTTTTAGTCACAACGTGGGGAGGTATTAAATGTATTTTAGTCACTCAAATTTCTCCTCATTTAACATTCTGTGCTCCTCCTGGAACCATGCCGAACTGGAACCAAAAAGCAGCGCTGGCCCTGGTGATTTGGGGCGCCTCAGGCAGGACCACAGAATGAGTTGACTTGAGGTGCCTCCTCAGCAATCATCTCCATTTTCTGGGGTTCTTATCCACTAAACTGGCCTTTGCAGGAAGAGAAGGCAAACGCTCCTGCTGGTTCTGCAAGCAGGCTTTCTGGCCACTGACTCCCTTCCACGTTCCAGATTCTGTTTCTGAGACGTTCCTGTCCATCCCCAGTGCCAGCGCTCTAGGTGGCAGTTTCCCTGACCTCGTTATCTAGGCACAAAAGTGGGCGGTTGGGGTGGGGGTGAGCTGTTATTGCTCACCCTGAGATCACCCCAGCAGATCATCCTTGGCCAGATCTGGACACTGAGGTCCCCAAGCAAATACCCAATTTGTTGGAAGCTACAGAAATTGCATTTAAAAGGGAGCATTAAAAAATGATCCCTCTAACCCACAAAACCCAAAAGGGGCAAACTTGTTAAAAATCCTGAACCTTAGATGGAAGAGGGGTCCTCAAAGGGTCTCTTCCATAGCACCTTGCCTTGGGCAGATGTGTCATTACCATCATCATTTTCCAGGGGAAGGAAGATCCAGAGAGGTGAGTCACTTAAATCACAGCTGGTTTAGGAGCCAGAGGGAAGTGGGCTCAAGAGAGCCGGCCTCCTAGTTTAGTGCTGCTTTGATTGTGCTGTGCTGTACCAGATGGATTTAAATGGGCATTTTAGTATTCGTCATACTTAACAACTTGCCGAGTAAGGTTTGTATTAGTTTCACCATGGCTGTTAAAAAAAAAAAAAAAAAAAACCCTTTTTTGAAAAGGGTTTCTGTAGTGCCTGGGTGGCTCAGTTGTTTAAGCATCTGACTCTTGATTTTGGTTCAGGTCATGATCTCGTGGTTCTTGAGTTCGAGCCCAGTGTTGGGCTCTGCACAGCAGTGAGGAGCCTGTTGTGGATTCATTTTCTCTGTCTCTCTCTCTCAAAATAAATAAATAAACTTAAAAAAGAAAAAAGAAAACAATACTCAATTCTGCCTCACTGGCTTTATTATAGCACGAACATTTTTGTTCTCTGACAGTGTGGAGCCTGCTTGGGATTCTCTCTCTCTCTCTC